TAGATCAGAATTTTTTGATGAATAATGATGCAATTTTATTAAAACAGATATTGATTCAGGATTACAATCTCATACAAGATCCCTTAGAGAGGCACGAGCTGCAGCCTCTCCTGACATAATACAAAGAAGTTGGGAAACGATTACAGTAATCACAACTGAGCCCAAAACAATTTTTCCCTATTTGGCCCTTGCTTGGTTAACACATCAGCCAAAGCGTTTGCTAATCTCCCCACCCACTGAATAGAGACAGACATGTTCCTTGTTAGCCATTTAATCTTCTTAATTTCGGTCTTATAGCACCAAACAGTCACATCAGGTTTCCTTAACCAGCCCACCACCACCTTTGAGTCCCCCTCAATAATTAGTTGTTGTACCCCCATTTGGTTTGCAAACTGCACTCCTTGTACCACAGCTAGCATTTCTGCCCTAACAGAGTCACCAAGTCCCAAAGGACCAACAGAGTGGATCCCCTTGCTTGATACCCCTGTGAGCTAGAAAGAAGTCCTTTACCACACCATTGACCAATATAGATTAGTGGCAGGTATTAACACACCCAAGTATCCACTTACACATCTCTCCCCCAAAACCACAATTCCTCAATGCCTCAGAGAGGAACTGTCAATCTACCCAGTTGTAGGCCTTTTCAAGATCAAACTTGCAAACAAAACCCCTTTGCCTAGATCTTTTCATCTCCTCCACACATTCATTCGCAATTAGGATCTGATCTATTATTTGTCTTCTTGGGATAAATGTCCCTTGATTTTGGCTGATGATGGATGGAGGACTTCTTTAATCCTCAGAGAGAGCACCTTAGCCAGAATTTTATATATACTTCTCACCAAACTGATAGGCCCAAAGTATTTTGGATGATTGGAATCAATCTTCTTAGGAATTAGAGCCAAGAACGTAGCATTGACTCCAAGACTTACAAAGCTATTGTCTGCAAATTCCTAAAAGACATCACATAAATCCTCTTTTAGCACCTCCCAACAGTCTTGGTAAAAAGATATTGTAAAACCATATGGGCCCAGAGCATTAGATCTATCCATTAGAAAGACAACATGCTTGATCTCGTCTTCCTCGAAATTCTTTTCTAACCACCTTGCCTTGTCATCCTCCGCCCTAAGCCAATCTATCCCTTCCACACTTGCTCTCTCATTCAAAGGCCTTCTGAATATCGATTTGAAGTGCTCCACAAATTTCCTAGCTACATCATCCTGGTTGGTAATCACCTCCACGTCCACCTCTAGTTTGGTCACGAAGTTCTTCCTCCTTCTCCCATTGGCCAGGTCATGAAATAATCTGGTATTCCCATCCCCTTAATCCACTTATGCCTAGATTTTTGTCTCCAACTAATTTCCTCTCATAGAAGTACCTCTTCCAGTTCCTTTTTCAGTTGTCTCCTCAACCCTCTGTCATCCTTAGACATGATATTTTGGGATTCCTTCAGGTCCAATTCTTCTATTTGATTGATCACGCTCATTTTTTGTACCTCAAGTCTCCCAAAATGATCCCTATTCCACTCTTTTATCTTAGATCTTAACCTCTTTAATTTCTTAAGAAATTTGACTCCCCTTTAGTTTATCCCGGTTAGCTCCTCCCCCACCACTCCTTCACTTTATTCACAAATTCTTCATGGGTTAGCCACATATTTTCAAATCTGAAAGGTTTAGGTCCAATAGCAAAGGTGACCCTGGGCATAGCTCTAGCAACCAAATTTCTCCACAAACTTTCCCAAGCTAAGTTAAAAAGAAATCTGTAACTTAGGTGACCAAGAGAATTTGGCTTGCAAAAGTGTAATTTCCTTCAACTGACAATCACCAATGAAGCCATTAAACTTCCTTATATTTTTCACCAAGAAAATATGCAGCAGCTTGCTTGCTTTCTTTCTATCTTTTCTAGTTCATGTTTCTACTTCAGCTTAGGTGATTTCTACGGTATTTTTTTTTTTTTTGGAAAAGGTAAAGTAATTTTATTCAGCTCAAAAAAACATACAAGCTGGGTTCAGGCCCAGAAGGGCAGCCTGAAAACCACAGATTTCTACTGTAAAATCAGTAGAACAGATTTGGTAGGCCTGTTCTCTGCATTACATAGATCCAGGATCCTTGTCCTACTCCTAAAGGATCCATCAAGTCGAGTTTCCATGGTTGATCTATAATGAATCTGGGTCTATCAGGGCTAACAGGTGCCTTCTATGATCAAGGGCTTCTGTTATTGTTTAATTGGGGATTAGGTAATTTAAACTGAATAAAGGCTGAATTGATGGCACTTCTTCACGATCTCAGATTAACACCCATGTTCAAATACACTTCCTTGAAGATTGAAAGAAACTCTCAATTGGCAATTAGATAGGTGCAGGAAGGTGGAGAGGATAATTGGACAATCCATCACTTTTAAAGAGAGGCTAGATTTTTTTTCGATCAATAATTATAACCTTCATTGATTAGATATGAATTATAAAGAGTATAAGCACAATAGGATAAAAAACAGTTTATCCCCAATACCAAAAAGCTTTACAATTGATCCCAAAACATTTGATCTCTCCAACCCTTTGTTTTGCCAAGGGGAATCAGCCACGCTGTTAGCCGTCCCTTTTTTTGATGAATAATAAGAAGTTTTATTAATAGAATTATAAAGATACACAGATAAGGATCCCAAAAAGAGGTGCAAGATGCAGCCTCAGATCAGAACAGAGAATTACAGCTTAAGCCCAAAACATCTGATTCCAATGCACTCCTTGTCTAGCTAGTGAGTCTGCCAACCCAATGCAGATCTTCTTTCCCATTGGAAATGGACAGACATGTTTGTAGTTAGCCATCTGAATCTTCGAAAAACCCCTTTATAGGACCAGGCTACTGTTTCTGGCTCTTTTAACCACTGGATCACCAGCTTGGAATCACGTTCAATTAAGAGCTGTTCACTGTCCAGTTCTTTGACAAATTCAGCTCCTTGTAACACTGCCTGAGTTTCTGCATTAACTGAATCCCCACCTCCTATAGGGCCAGAAAAAAGAGTGATGATCAGCCCCTCTGCATTTCTAAACACTCCCCCAATACCGGAGGGTCCAGGATTGCCTAGGCTGCTACCATCAAAGTTGAGCTTAATGATACCCTCCTCAGGAGGTTTCAATTCTACTAACAGCTGGCTTTTCACACTAGAACTTTTGGCAACCTCTTCCCAATTTCTCCATAAGTCAACAAAAGAGAAAGGAGAAAACAGTTCCAAAGTTTTATCCCAATTGATGGCTCTATTAAGTTAGCATCCCCAAACATTGACCTCATTCCTTTCCTTCTCATCAAAAATTCTGGAATTCCTTTCCTCCCAGACAGTCCAAACCAATGCAGCTCTAACACACCTCCACGTCACCCTACCTCTTTTCGTAGGCCACCTGAAGGTTGTAGGTTCAAATAGATTGCTAATCTGCAACGACAATGTCCACCTGCACTCAAAGAGACTAAAAAGCTTTTCCCAGAGACCTACAACAAAAGAACAGGATATTATTAGATGACTACAACTTTCTCCATTTTCTTTGCAGAGGACACACCAATCAGGGGATATATTGAGACAAGGTCTTCTCCTTTATAGGTTGTCCAAAGTGTTTAGTTTCACAAGAGAGGCCTCCCAACAGACAGCTCCCACTTTAGGAGGAATGGGTTTAAACCAAATCTCTTTGCATGGGAAAAACTGAGAGCTAAGGTCAAGAGCACAGGGAAGAGAAGAATGAAGCACAAGAGAAGGTACCCAAAGAGTTAACAGACCAAATACATGCATCTGGTTTAGAAGGGTCCAAGCAAATAGGATCGAGCAGGCAAAATAACTGAGCGGTCTAGTCAAGCTCAGAATCTCTCAAATCTCTCATGAAACTCAAATCCCAGTTGAATCCAAAAGACAAAGAGAATGAGACAAACCTTTGAACTGGTTCATTTTTAAAGCGAGAGAGGGAATAGAAGGAAAAAGGTCCTTGAGGGTTGAGTTACCGATCCATATATCCTCCTAGAAAAGAACCCTATCCCCGGTACATACATCATAGCTGGTTCTAACATCCATACCCCAGGCTATCCATTTAATCTTCTTTAATGTGTTTTTGCACGCCATAAATCATTTTCTTTATTTTGTAGCCACTGGATCATCAATTGTAAATCTCCTTATACAATCAATTTGTGCACATCTAACTCCTCTGCTCTGCCTACCCCCTTTCAAAATCGCCATTACTTGAGCTCTCAAGGAATCACCAATGCCAACTGGACCTAAAAAGGGTCAGCCACTTCAGTTGTAGATTCCCTTGCTAGGGCAAGGTTTACATGGGAGAATTGCATTGGGGGCCATCCAATTAGGGCTAGCCTTTGTTTCTTTGGGACCTTTTTAGGGTGTTTGGCCGGTTGTTAAGATAGCAATGGGTATGAGAGTTGCTCTTGTGTTTTTCTCTTTATTTCTATGAAGATTCTCTGTTGCTATCAAATTATAGCTATCAGAGCTCCGTTGAAAGGAAAAATTTTGTATTAGATGGTATACAGGTTGGGGAGTAGAGAGTGATACTCTGTAATTGGGATTTATTTTCATTTCTCTACATTCTTATGCCTACAAGTAATAATATTTCTGTTACAAAAGTACTAAATTCCCATTATGATCTAGTTACAAAAATACTAAATTCACATGTGTCCAATATCAGGATATCTCAAGTTATTTGACAAGAACCGAAGAGATGTATTTCGCTTGTACGAAAGACCCTTTCTTTTCTTTTTTTCACTTTTCCTTTTTTTATTTAAATGTTTATTTTGTGGAAATAAGTTGGAAATGAGCCAGCTAACTCAATATAATAACACAAAACTAGACAATAGCTCAGCTTAAATTGGATTTACCAGAAAATGCAAAAAAGTGCAATTAAATTAAAAGAAACATACAATTAGAACAAGCACTATTATATAGGAAACACAAAAGCACTACAAGAGCAAAAGAAAATATATATTATATATCAAATGGACATGGGAAAGTAATGTCACTTTTCAGGTGTAAGAATCTTCTTTTCATTGTTGAACTCTTGGATCCAATCCTCATCCTCATTGTCTAGGTCATACTCAATAAACTCTCCAAGCTCAGCCCGAGCTGCAAATTATAAGCAAAATCCTAATAATCCAATTAAAGATAAATTATGTAGAAGATACTGTCACAGTTTCTCAAGATTCAAAGAATAAAGTTAACAAACCTCCCCTTCCACAAGGAGCGCAGTGGGAAAAAGAGATGTAAGTGGAAAATTGGCCATTGAAGGGGACTTCAAGATGATAATTAGTTGGCTGGTTAATAATGAAGCAGTTCCATGGAGTTACAGAAATGAAATCAAGCAGTTCAACTGGCTCAGAAGAAATGTGCAACTGCAAATACATTGGGTGAAGAGATATTTAAATGGAATGGTTGATGGATTAGTCAAATCGGCAGTGGATTGGGAACAAATTTTCTGGGCACAATTGTAAGGGATTCATAAGAAGCATTGTGGTGGCGGCGGGGTTAACCATGCTCTCTGACCTTTGATTGTATAATTTGTAAATATTTTAATCAATGAAGAAATCTGTTATTGATCAAAAGAAAAAAAAAAAAAAAAAAAAAAAACAAACAAACCTCCTCTTCCACGCAAATAAGATGTTGGTTGAGTGAAGGTGCGGGAATAATCTCGTTCATAAGTATCAACAACAACAAACTGTGGGATCGGTATTTCAGGGGCACTTTTCTTGTTAGAAGTTTGTTGTACCTGTAAGATAGAAATATAATCAGTCAAATTCTGGATAGATACAAACAAGGATTAAAGTATCGATATTATACTCCTTATACAGGAAGTATCATATCCATATCCATGGCCATGGATATGAGATATGCCACAATTGGGTACGTATCCCATGAGTTCTGTGTATCGGCATGATATGCCTCCGTATTGAGTCGTACCAATGGATACGGTCTGATGTGCACCGATACAAAAACGCATTGGTGCTTAGTTCGATGAAATTATGCATTAACCACTTTTGGATTATTTTTTAACTTTAATCAAAATTGAAAGTTATAATTATAAAAAATAAAACAGAATTATAATTATAAAAACTGAAATAGTTAATTTAAGATTTATTTCCCCAAAAATTAATAACTAAAAGTTATAAAATACTAAATAAATTATATGTTAAAAATAAGAACATATTTATAAAAACTGAAATAGTTAATTTAAGATTTCATTTTACATATAAATTATATGTTAAAAATAAGAACATATTTATTATTTGAAAAGGTAGAGTTGTTATTTATATAAAATACTAAATAAATAAATTTCCCACACTGCTTTGCACATTGTGGGAAGAAAGGAAAGCCAGAATACTCCAAGAAAAGGTGCAAAGCCAACAAGATTTGAAGGAATGTATCCTGCACAGGGCTATAGTGTGGATAAAGTCGTTGGAGTTATTTCAGCAGTTTTCTTTTAATAACCTGTGGAGGCATTGGGCGAAGTGGTAAGCAGTTCCTCATTGAAGACAAAAGATGCACATGAGCTAGGTAACCCCACCTGAAGGCATCTTGAAATTAAATTTTGATGGGAGTAGCCTGGGCAACCCAGGCCCTTCTAGGATGGATGGGGTTAAAAGGAATGAAAGTGCTTCTGTTGCTCTGCTATTTTCAGGCCCATTAAGTGCAGGGGACTCCACAAGGGCAGAACTATTAGCTGTACTACAAGGGGTACAGCTTGCTCTACAGATAGGAGTGGAGCAGCTAGTAATAGAAGGTGTGATTCTAAGGTGGTTGTGGGGTGGTTACAGAATCCAGAGACTGCAATTTGGTGCTTCAAAAATGAACTTAAAGGCTCAGTTTGGAAAGAGTACAAATACAAATATGTACAGTGCAAATACATAGAAAATAATACAAAATATAAGGTTTTTTTATCAATAACTTTGAAAGAATTTCATTAGTTAAAATGCTTTAGGATACAACAAGAAGTTGCAAAAGAAATCAGCTTAGTAAGCTGACCTAGAACAGAATTACAAAATGTGCCCAAAACATATAGGTTCTTTGAACCCCTGGCTTTGCTAAGCTATCTGCCAAAATATAAGGTTTTGCACTCTACATATTCTCATTTGTACTCCTTCCAAATTAAGCCTAAAAGATTCAAATGCTTGACGAGAAACTTGTATGTCAGAATTCAATGGGGCAACGAGGAAACATTTGTATTGGGCTCAGCTGTAATCCTTTTTAGTGTTTGAAGGGTTGCAGAGGTCACAGCTCATGCCTCTCCAAGTTTCTTCTGTAATAGTTGCTCTTGATTTCTTCTTCTAATAAATTCTTCATTTATAAAAAAAAAAAGATTTAATTTTCCCAAAAACTTAATAAAACTGAAAATTATAAAAATAATTTGTTTCATCTACCTTAAATGATTTATATGTTTTATTTTACAACTATATTTTAAAAACGAAATATTTATTATTTGAAAAAACAATAGAGATTATTTATATAAAAATACTAAATAAAGAAATTTTTCCCAAAAATGTATGATGTGTACATGTTTTAGAGTGCCGATATTGTTGTTTGCATGTTTCTCTTCATATAAGCTATTAAAGTGTGCATCTTCATGTGTTTAAACCTTATTCACAGATACTCAGCTTTAGATATACTGTTGTTAATGTATTTATGTGATTTTTTATCAATAACAAGAAACTATATTAAAAATATGAAACTATGTGAAGCTTAGGTACAAAGGGGAGGTAAAAAGACTTAACTCCCCACCAAAGAATACAAGGAAAATTCAAAAATTAGCCCAAAAAGTYGAAACCYTATCCACCCCTTGCTTTGCTAACCCATCAGCAAAAGAATTAGCA